CACACATACACACACTCACAAATCGGCACTTTTAAAAATGCACACACACAAAATCGGCACTTTTAAACATACACACACACACACAAAAATCGGCACTTTTAAACATACACACACAAATCGGCACTTTTAAACATACACAAACACACACACAAATCGGCACTTTTAAACATACACACACACACACACACACAAATCGGCACTTATAAACATGCACACACACAAAATCGGCACTTTTAAACATACACACACACACACACAAAAATCGGCACTTTTAAACATGCACACACACAAAAATCGGCACTTTTAAACATGCACACACACACAAATCGGCACTTTTAAACACACACACACACACAAATTGGCACTTTTAAACACACACACACACACACACACACACACAAATCGGCACTTTTAAACACCCATACACAAAATTCAAAATTCTTTTTTTAAAATACTGAAAAACTGAATTGTAGTAAGGTATAATAGTTTTTACTTAACATTATCACCTAACTGGGACAAATACAGAGTTTTAAAAGATTTAAAACTTAACGAATTATTCTAATTAAAAGGAAAAAAATGAAAAAAAAAATCTTGTAAAAATTCATTATTGAAACATTTTTTTCTTAAGACAATAGTGTCCATATATATATATCTTATTCATAAAAAGCAAGTAAAAGCTTTTCTAATTAAATAATATCTTTATTTGCATTTTAATAATATTGCATTTTTCACTTTACAATTTTTCGGTAGCTTGGAATCTTGTTTTATAAAAAGAAATTCATGATTTAAATTCTCTAAGATGTTTTGCTTTCACACATTAAGCGGGACAACATTTAATTTCTCGAAATTTCATAAAAATTGATAAGGGTGTGTGTGTCTTTAACAGACGCAAAAATATTTTTACTAATATTTTCTAGAAAAGATATTTCTAAAATAATTTCATTCCTTTGTGAATAAATCCTGAAAGTTTCATGAAAATCCGATAATTATATGGTTTCTGCAAGAATTTTCAAATTAATGTTTTTCATCGCAAAAAAGACGCTAAAGTTTTTTATTTTTGCAAAGTTGACACATAAAAATAAAGATTTTTAATCTAAATTTCAAATGTTCTAAAAAAGATAAAAAATATAATTTAATCAGTGTGGGTACACACACACACGCACACACACACACACACACACACACACACACACACACACATATATATATATATATATATATCAGTGCACGCATCGGAGGAAGAGAATTTTTAACGCATTGTATACGAGATATATCATACATCATAACATACGAGATATAGCATTACAGGCTACCAGAGTGCTCAATTCATAGCGAAGAGCTTTTAACGTTAATCAGTTGCAGCCGATAAATTCCAGAGTGCTCAATCTACGAGAGGGGGGGGGCGTATATAGCCATCCACAGACAGACTGTTTCACTGTATTACAGCTTATTTGTGTGGCTAAACATGCGATTTCTTCAAACCGGGATCGAAACCAGCCGGAGTCTTTTACCCTTAGGCTATCTGCGCACGCAGCGGAGGTAGGAAATTTTTAACGCATTGTATACGAGATATAACCATTACTGGCTACCAGAGTGCTCAATTCAGAGCGAAGAGCTTTTAGCGTTTTCCCTTTTCTTCCAAAGAGCTAAACCTATGGGCATATATATATATATATATATATATATATATATATATATATATATATATATATATATATATTAATATAGTGCATGTTAATAATAAATCCTGGTAGGAATTCTAGTTCCTTTAGGATCACCTCTCCGTAAAGATGGGGTAAATCCGGTGAGAAGGCATAACCTTATCTTACGCTTCTATTTTTGAGTACTTGCTAAATTTATTTTTAGGTCGGGCTTAGTCAGTATCTAGATGGGTAACCATTTGGGAATACCAGGTGCTGTAAGGTTGGATATGAGGGTGGTGTAATGGAAATCGGAGTGCAGTGTTCGAATTCCAGTCGGGTTCGTTACACTTACTTATGCACAAATACACTTGAGAACTGCATGAATCCATCTACTCCCTTCCCATCTATGAATTCAATAGTAGGACTTGTATCTGAAAATCGATATTATCTAAAAAAAAAAAAAAAATTCTTAATATAATATTCACTCAAAAAAAGAAAAAAATTATCCTAGACGAAGAAACAATTCATTTTTTTTTATCTGTATACAGGTGACTTACTCCCTGTATAAATTTTCTTAATAGTTAAACTAGATTTATCAGTCACTACTGGTAAAAAAAAAAAGGGGAAAAGAATTATCCTTGCAATTCAAAAATACGTTTCGGCTTTAAATAAACAACAAAAAGTTCATAAGACATAAAAAACGAAGAAACAATTCATTTTTTTCTGTATACAGGTGACTTACTCCCTGATTAAATACTAGAATATTGTAAGTTTTCTTAATAGTTAAACTAGATTTATCAGTCACTACTGGTAAAAAAAAAAAAAAAAAAAAAATAGGAAAAGAATTATCCTTGCAATTCAAGAATACGTTTCGGATTTAAATAAACAACAAAAAGTTGATAAGACATAAAAAAACGAAGAAACAATTCATTTTTTATCTGTATGCAAATGATTTACTCCCTGTATAAATTCTAGATTATTGTAATATTTTTCCCAAATAAATTAAGTTTTCTTAATAGTTTAACTAGATCTGTCAGCCACTACTGGTAAAAAATAAAATAAATAGAAAATAAAACAAAAAAAACCAAAAAAACGTGTATATGTATTCTCCTTCTCCTCCTACTAGTAATACTACTACTAATACTACTCTGTTCACGACAATGATGATGACGGTAGTGTTAATAATTGGTGAAATAATAATAGATATGGGAAAATCAGTTAAATTAAATGAGTTCTAATTTTGAAACTATTCTGATGATTGTGTTATGGAGCCGATACTAGGAAACTATAACGAGAACCACACGAGATTGTGTAATTTGCCAAAGTGAGTTTTAAATCAAACGGCGTAAGAATGGGAAAAGAGAAATAAAAAGAAAGGAAGAGTTTTTATACTAGGGGAAGAGACATCGCAGAAAAAAATAATAGGACAAATGAGAGAGAGAGAGAGAGAGAGAGAGAGGAAAAGAAAGAAATAAAGAAAGAAGGAAATTAATGAATGAACAAAAAAGAAAAAGAAAAATTACGGAAAAAAGAGCCCCCCCCAAAAAAAAACAAATAAAAAACAACAAAAAAAAAAACAAAAACAACGAATCTAAGAAATATTTAGAAAAGAAAGAAAGAAAGCAATAAATAAATAAAAAAAAGAATTGCTCTTGGAAGAGAGACGTAGAAAAGAAAGGAAGAAAGAAAGTAGCGATAAAATGAGGAACCGTTGAAAATATAGAAAAAAAAAAAACAAAGATATGGAAAAATTGGAGAAAAAGGAGGTAAAAAAAAAACAAAGAAAGAATATAAGAGAAAAATAAAAATAAAATGAACAAACATTAACAAAGAAAGAAAAAAGAGAAGAAAAAAAACAATGAAGGCCAAAATAGGGAAAAGAAATGGAATAAATAAAAAGAAGACATAGAAAAATAAGGAAAGAATGAAATCAAGAAATAAAAGGAACCAAACAAGAAAGAAGAAAAAAAGGTGGAAATAAAGTAAAAGATAAAAAAAAAAAAAAATGAAGGCAAGAAATTGAAAAAGAAGAAAAGAAAAGCAGTAATAAAAAGAAACTAGAGAAAGAAATGGAAAAGAAAATGAAGGAAAGAAAGAAAGAAAGAAAGAAAGAAAGAAAGAGTAAAGGAACTTTGAAGAGAAAAGACAAGGGGAAACAATTTAAAAAGGCGAATACAAATGACGGAAAGAAGAACATAGACATAATTGATAAGAGAAGAAATAAAAAAAGGCATCATCTTAAAAAATAAGAAACCAATAAATAAATAAATAAACAAAAATAAGCCCCCCCCCCAAAAAAAAATGAATGTCCAAAAAATACGCTTATGCAAATTATTATAAATAAATAATTAAAGTGTTAAAAAGGCATAGGAAGAAGCACAACTGATACGAAGAATAAAATAGAAAATTTCAAGATGAAAAAGACATGGGAGAAAGATACGAAAATTAGAACGAGTCTCTTTTGTTCCGCTAAGATTTTTCTTGATGAAAACCAATGTATTCAATATTTACTTTAATAATTAAAAATTAATGTCTGCTTTATTCTCTTACTACTACTCCTCCTCCATCACTCCTAATTTTTCTTGATTCTCCACTTTTAAGTTTTATTCTTCTTTTCCTTCTCTTCCACCTCCTTTGTCCGCCAAATTGATGAGCTCTCTTCAAAGCTGATTATTGTAACATCACCCGGTAACATTCTCCAAATATGGCCGATCTGACCATGGTAAGGGAGAACTGGTTTTGTTACGAAACAATGGAGTTTACTCAGCTCGATTTGATGATGCTGTTACTAATGTAATTAAAATGGTCAATTCTTGCAATGTTCGCTCGGCCAATGCCAACTGATTAGCGTTAATTTGCTGCAATGGCTTTTCATCTTGTAGCGAGTCTAATGATGGCTTTTCCTTATGTAAGAAGACCTTGTGAAATGTTAGTCGGCGGCTGGTGTACAGAGTAGCTAACTGGATGGAACTTCTAACGGTGTATAGTGGACTTAATCCACAGTAATTAAATGTCCGTATCATTCAATCAAACGTGTTTGGTCAAAGATAGTAGAGGCGGGCGGGTAGAAAAGAAATGAAGGAAAATTGGAAGAAAAAAAAGGATGAGAGTTATAAGAAATAAAAGGGAAGAACATTTAAAGAGATTAAGGTAGACAGTGAGAGGAGATAGAGGGAAAAAGCTGGAAAGAAAAACCCAAAAAGAGCGAAAAGAAGAGAGAGAGAGAGAGAGAGAGAGAGAGAGAGAGAGAAGGAAAGTGTGTGTGTGTGTGTGTGGTGTGAGAGAAGGTTCAGAATTATGGAAAGCAAAAAGCATCAATTAGCGAAAAGTAATAAAAGAGAAATAAATAAATAGATGAATGAAGAAAGAAAGAAAGAAAGAAAAGCAAGAAAGAAAAAAGAAAAACAAAGAAGAATGGATAATATGAAGAAGTAAAAATCATATGTGATAGTGGAATGACAGAAGAAAAAGAAAGAAAAAAGAAAGAAGACAAAAAGTGGAAATTGAAAGCATATATGTTAAGTCTGAAGAAAAGAAAGAAAGAAAGAAAGAAAGAAAGAAAGAAAGAAAAGAGACAATATGAGGAGTCAACATTCAGGTTGGAGTTGAATGATAAAAAGAAAAGATAGAACGAAAGAAGATAGAAAGAAAGGAAGAAAAAAACGAAGACAGAAAGGAAGAAAGAGAGAAGAAAAAAGGTGGAAATAGAAATCACAAATGTTTGGGTGGTCTGAAAGAAAGAAAGAAAGAAAGAAAGAAAGAAAGAAAGAAAATAAATAGAGAATGAATGAAAGACGACAAAATGAAGTGTCAACATATATATTCGAGTTGAATGATAAAAAGAAAAGAATAAAAGAAAAAAAGAAAGAACGGAATAAAAAAAAGAAGAGAGAAAAGAAGAAAGAAAGGCGAAAAACCTACAAATTGAAAGCACATATTTCGGAGAAAGAAAGAAAGAAAGAAAGAAAGAAAGAAAGAAAGAAACAAAGAAAAAGACAATATGATGAGTCAACATTCATGTTAGAGTTGAATGGTAAAAAGAAAAGAAAGAAAAAAGATAGAAAGAAAAGACGAAAAACGAAAAAAGAAAGAAGAAAATGTGGAAATTGAAAACATATTTGTTAGATCGGTTTGAAAAAAGAAAGAAAGAAAGAAAGAAAGAAAAAGAAATTAAAAAAGAAAGTAAGAAGAAAGACAATATGAGAAATCAACAACGAAAAAACGAAGAAAGAAAGAAAGAAAGAAAGAAAGAAAAAAGAAAAAATGAAAGAATACAGTATGAGGCGTCAACATACATGTTAGAGTTGAATGATAAGTAGAAAAGAAAGAAAGAAAAAGATAGAAAAAAGGAAGAATAAATGAAGAAAGAAAAAAGAAAGAAAGAAAAATATGGAAATTGAAAGCACATATGTCAGGATGGTTTGAAAAAAGAAAGAAAGAAAAAGAAAGAAAGAAAGAAAGAAAGAAAGAAAGAAAGAAAGAAAGAGTAAAAATTGATAATATTAGTAGACAACCTTAATGTTAGAGTTAAATGATAAAAAGAAAAAAGAGAAAGAAAAATGAATGAAAGAAAGAAAGAAAGAAGAAAGAAACTGAGAAAGAAATACAATACGATGAATCAACATTCATGTTAGACTGAATAGAAAAAAAAAGAAAGAAAAAAAAAAAAGTCAATATGAGGAGTCAACATTCATGTTAGAGTTGAATGATAACTAGAAAAAAGATAGAAAGACAGAAAGAAAGTACGAAGAAAGAAAGGAAGAAGAAAAATGTGGAAATTGAAAACATATACGTTAGGTCGTTTTTAAGAAAGAAAGAAAAAGAAAGAAAGAAAGAAAGAAAAAAAGGAAAGTATGAAAAAGACAATGTGAAGACTCAGCATTCACCGTAGACTGGAATGATGAAAAGAAAGAAAGAAAGAAAGAAATAAAACAATATGATGAGTCAACATTCATGTTAGAGTTGAATGATAAAAAGAAAAGAAACAAAGAAAGGCAATCCAAAGAAGAAAAAAAACTAAGAAAGAAAGAAAAAAGAAAGTAAAAAAAAAAAGTGAGAAAGAAGACATGATTAGGAGTCAAATTTCATGTTAGAATTGATGATAAAAAGAAAAGAAAAAAAGAAGATAGAAAGAATGGAATAAAAAAAAGAAAGATAAAAAGAAAGAAAGAAGCTAAAATGTAGAAATTGAAAGTATATATATGTTAGGCTGGTGTGAAGAAAGAAAGAAAGAAAGAAAGAAAGAAAGAAAGAAAGAAAGAAAATGAAAGAAAAAAATGTGGAAATTAAAAGCATATAATTTAGGGTCGTTAGAAGAAAAACGAAAGGAAGGAAGAAAGAAAGAAAACAATATGAGAATTCAATGTTCATGTTAGATTTGAATGATGAAAATAAAAAGAAAGAAGAATAGAAAGAAAGGTGGAAAAAACGAAGAAAGAAAAGAAGACAGAAGAGAAAATGAGGAAATTTAAAATATATATGTTTAGGATGTTTGAAGAAAGAAAGAAAGAAAGAAAGAAAGAAAGAAAGAAAGAAAGAAAGAAACAAACAAACAAACAAACAAACAAACAAACAAAAAACAAACAAAGAAAAAGGGAAAGTTGATAGACAATCTTTATGAAAGAAAGAAGACAATATGAGGAGTCAACATTCATGTTGGAGTTGAATGAAAAAGTAAAGAAAGAAAAAAATGAAATGAAGAACGAACGGAGAAAGAAAGGAAAAGAAGGAAAATGTTTAAATTGAAAACATAATATGTTAGGTCGATTTGAGGAAAGAAAGAAAGAAAGAAAGAAAGAAAGAAAGAAAGAAAGAAAGAAAAACAAAGAGAAAGAAAGGAAATATGAGGAAACAGCATTCATGTTAGGCTGTAATGATAAAAAGAAAGAAGGAAAGAATAAAGAAGTCAATAGGATGAGTCAACATTGATGTTAGAGTTGAATGATAAAAAGAAAAGAAAGAAAAAAGAAAGGAAGATACAAAGAAAAGAAGAAAATAAAGAAAAAAAGGGAGAAAGAAGAAAAAATGTGGGAATTGAAATCATATTTTAGAGTTGTTTGAAAAAAGCGAAAGAAAGAAAGAAAGAAAGAAAGAAAGACAATATGAGGAATCAACAGTCATTTTTAGACTGGAATGATAGAAAGAAAGAGAGATAGATAGATAGATAGTAGATAGATAGATAGATAGATAGATAGATAGAGAGAGAGAGAGAGAGAGAGAATAACTCAATATGAGGAGACAACGTTCCTGTTAGAATTATAAAAAAAAATTAAAGAAAAAAAATAGAAAGAAAGGAAGAAAAAATTGTGAAAATTAAAAGTATATATATTAGGGTGGTTTGAACAAAGAAAGAACGAACGAACAAAAGAAAGAAAGAAAGAAAGAAAGAAAGAAAGAAAGAAAGAAAGAAAGAAAAAAAAAAAAAGAAAGAAGACAATATGACGAGTCAACATTCATGATAGAGTTGGATGATAGAAAGAAAAGAAAGAAAGTCAGAACGAAAGAAAGAAAGAAAGAAAGAAAGAAAGAAAGAATGAATGAATGAATGAATGAAAGAAAAAAGACATATGAGGAGTCAAACTTCATGTTAGTGTTCAATGAAAAAAAGAAAAGAAGAAAAAGAAAAGAAGAAAAAGAAAAAAAGAAAAGAAAAAGAAAAAGAAAAAAAAGAACTGAAGAAAAAACGGAGAAACAAAAAGCCAAAATCTGGAAATTGAAGGTATATATGTTAGGGTGGTTTGAAGAAAGAAAGAAAGAAAGAAAGAAAGAAAGAAAGAAAGAAAGAAAGAAAGAAAGAAAGAAAGAAAGAAACACAATATGAGGTGTCAACATTCATGTTAGATTGGAATGAATGATTGAAAGAAAGAAAGAAAGAAAGAAAGAAAGAAAGAAAGAAAGAAAGAAAGAAAAAAAGACAATATGGGGAAAGTGAAAGTATATATGGTAGGGTGGTATGGTGAAAGAAAAAGAAAGAAAGAAATAATAATAATACGAGGATGTTGAAATTATGGGGGAGTGATGCGATAACCGGAAAAGCATAAAAAGCTGAATAAATGAACCTGAAAAAAATGAAAGAAAGAGAATGTAATGCGAAAGAGAAATAACTAAAATACTAAAAATGAAAAACTGTGAACAGGGGAGGCAAAGTTTGAAGAAATAAATAAAATAGAAAAGAGAAGACGAATAATTTTTTCACGCGATAAAAATTTATTAGGCAACCAAAAATGTTTGTTCATTGTTCATTGACAAATATTCCCGCTACACACGGCGAGAGAAAAAGAATGAACTTATAAAATAACTCTCACCAATTCCAGAAACCCTTTACAGACCAGATAGGAATGGTAAACGATAATGTAAGCATCTTGTTACGTTTAAATTAGACTGGATACGATTCTTTACTCCGTTTTTAACGATTCCTAAGGACAGACTTTTATAAGGTTCGTGGGATTCATTTTCTATTGAAATTTTTCCGGCTCAATTTTTTTTAGCTGTATCGTCACAAGTTTCGACTTCAACAACCTCTGTACATATTCAATGGTTTGCTTCTGCTGTTTTTGTTTCAAGTTTTTATTTTTATTTTTTAATTGATGGGAGTTATTTTAATTCGTGCACAAAGATTTTACAATCTAACTGTGGTCCGCCATGTTTGTCTTCATTCGTTACTCGTCATTTAAGTGCTTTACACGATTGGACGATCATGTCCCTTTTAATTCATGACTGACTAGGCAGACTAGTTGCTACCCAAGGCTATGTCCTGCTAGTAAATTGTGATTGCGAATAACGAATTGTCAATAACGAATTAAGATTGTGATTGCCAATAACAAATCCTCGTATGACTTGAGTTAGTTAAGTGCCATACGTGATACACGCTTGGCCGTTCATGTCCTTTTTGATTCATGACTGACTAGGCAGAAGATTTTCTCGCGGTAGGTTGCCAATTCTTTCTGCGGTAGACTGATTGCCAACCAACAGGACCCAGTCTCTGTCCCGCTATTAAACCCATAGCAGGGGTGAAAAGATATGGATTCATTCATTTCCCAAAGGTATTTGCGCTTAAGTGAATGTAACAAACCCGATTGAAATTCGAACCCGACATTCAGATTTCGCATTCCGAGCCGATATCTATAACACAAAACACTACAATTTTTGTCCAGTGTGTCGGTTTCATGTTACGGCCTGTTACTATCTTTTGTTCAAAGTGACGTAAAGAGGACATTGACAAACTGTACGATATGTACCGGGTGTAACAGCAAAATTGTCGCAATCACGCAACAGCAAAATTTTCCAATTGTCAGATTAAGCTTTGAAACGTTGCATCTTAGAAATTATTAAAGACTAGCAGCATGGCTCGGCGTTGCCCGTGCTTGATTCAAAAATCGTACGACTCATACAGCAATCGCTATCACTTGACTTAAAATATTTTTGCCCTTCCTTGCCTTTAAAGGAGTGCACTTTGCCGTGCTGATGTTGCTGCATGCCTTACTTCTTGCCTATCTCACACTGCGAATTTTTTCGAAGCTCTATACTAAACATTAAATCTGTTACGAAAAAAGAACTAAACAAAATGAACACAAAACGATCAGCTTTAAAAAAGGACTCGTAACTGGAAAAACCGAATGAAAAAAGAATGTTAACAACAAATACTTTTTCACACCCAACCCAGTTCTGCGGCATCAGAATCAACGTTGAATTTAAGCAAGCGAATGAGCCAATTGGAGCAAAATGCCATGCAGATTTAAATTTTTCCCACTTGTGACGAATGCAGCTATCGATTTTTTTGCATGCTAGCATGCTAGTTAACATTCGTGTCAGTCAGCTGTTGGCTCTCACGCTGGCCAATAAAATCTTCCTACCTATTCGTGGCAGCCAGCTATTGGCACTCACACTGGTCAGTACAAAATGGCCGCAAACTACATGAAAACTGCTGTAGAAGCATGAAAAAATCAATTATTATCACTAACTATGGGAGTTAGGAAATGCAAAGTCTAATTGTTCACTAGGGGTCGCTCTCCCTACACTATAAATACTGGGCGACTTCTTGCCTCGTTCTCCTTTCTACTTTGCATTTTATCGGACACATTTAAAAATGTAATCTCTCGCAGAGATCCGCGTTTTCGCCCACTTGTGGGAAAACGTCATGAAACACACATACACGTACGTACGAAATTTTACCAACATACAAACTCTTTATACTCACACACACACACACACACACACACACACACATATATGTAATAAAACACACACACACACACACACACATATATATATATATATATATATATATATATATATATATATATATATGTGTGTGTGTGTGTGTGTGTGTGTGTACATATATAGTTTTATTGCATGTTCATCGTTAGGCAAGGCCTTTTCCAACTCCTTCCATGACAACTCTCTTTCAGGTCTAACCAGAAAATTGCTCTCTTTCCTGATTGGACGTTGGCTTCAATCAAACAATCTTCCGTTTTACCAGATATAGATTTTCTTGCTAGGTATCCCGACAATATATTGATTGATTTTATTTTTTTTTTACGGTTTATCAACCTTTTGGGAGTTATTTAAAGCTGAAACATATTTTGGATGTTTGTTTTAAGAATTTTTTTTTTTTTTTTTTTGTGAGGGAATATTGTATTAACAATTATTTTGAGAATAACAAGGGTTTTTTTTTGTTCCTGATATCAAACCTACTAATTAATGCATAGCTGGGGGAGGAGATTAATTCATACCTTTCACAAGAGAATTTGCATGTAAGTGGATCTAACGAACCAGGACTGGAATTGGAACTCGTTTTACCGAACTGTCATTCCGTACCGCTATCCATTACACCACCCGCACACCTACCTCGACCACACACACACACACACACACACACACACACAACACAAATGCACACAGAAAAAACAACAAAAAAACATATATATATATATATCATTTGTCTTAATTTAGAACAAGGCTAATTAGATGAAAATTAGAAATAGTAAGAATCTGTTGCGCCATTTATTCAAAGATTAAGCCTAGAAATCAGTATTTGAAATCCTCGTTCAAAAACTGAACCACGGAATCAATATGAAATACTTTGTTAAATCAGTCACTAATCAGATATATCTGTATGTATGTGTATGTCTGTGTGCGTGTGTGTATGCAAGATATTATTCTTTCATATATGGTTTCGAAGATGTGGACGATATGGCTCTCCATGACTTCCAGCATTTTATTGTTCTCTGTGTAACTCTAACCCTTTTTATTAATCCATTTTTGTTCTGGTTTTGCCATGCAAACTCAAACTTGTCAAGTTGCTTCTTTCGTCTTCCCTGTGTCTTGTGAGTGTTATATTCGCCAAGCCTTCTTTTTAATTACGTTTTCCAGAAATCTTAGATGTCCTTTTTTTATATCTCAAACAACATCTTCCTTCTAGTTGCCATTATGATTAATATCTCGTCATAATTCAAATGCTCTACATCAGCATTTGTTGGCAGGACCACATCTCTGTTGCTTCAAGCATTTTCTTCATTTGGGAGGAGATTATCAAACATTCACTGTAATATCTGCTAATATTGAATGTGTATCGTGTTTAACAGTGAACAAAACAAATAGTGACATATTTTTAAATTATGCTTCCAGATAGCCGGAACAGGGCCGGTGCGTACTACCCTCGAATTCTCCCCAGATTGGGGGCCTCGGGAAATGAATTGCGATTCTTGCTATCTTATCAACATTTTCTTTTTTACATAAATTTATATATTTTACAAATTAAACTAAGCACAAGTGACTATTAAAGAATTAAATTTTTTTGAATATTTTTACGGCATTCTGGGTTTGTTTTTTGGCCCAAGTCCGTGAATTTGGCCCAAG